AGTCCTTAAAATAAGAAAAATGAATTTCCTATGGAAATAGAAAAATCAAGTTACACAGAAATTATATAATTTCACACTCATCTTCATTCACCACCCCCATAACCCCATCTCCACTATCTCATACGTACTATTTCTCTAAAAGTTATATAAAAAATATGTACAAAATAAAATTAAAAAAACTCATTTAAAAAAAATTAAAAAAATTGTAGTAACAATTTAACACACCATGAATTGTCAAGTCAAATCAAACATTGCAAGTACTGAAAATCAGGTCAACTAATGCCTGATAAAAAGTAAAAAAAGAGTAGTACCTAATTCATGTAAGGTTAAAAATAAAATAAAATAATTTTTAAAAAGGTGAAAAATAGGTACAAATTGATAAGACAAATTGACAATTATTCAAGCCTTTCAATTTCTAGGCTTATAGCCATTTCAGTGATTACTGTTTTCCCACATGCTCACCTGCCAGTATCTTTTTATGGATGTTTATAATGTTATCTTCACCTTAACTTTAACTTAGTACTACTTTAATTATTTGTAATGAAAAAATAATTATTGTCAAAATTGGTTGGACATGAAATGGTGTTGAGCAATTTTATTAGATAACTGTTTCTATCGTTGTAGTCATCACCACTAATATCATCGTCAACCATCAACAACGTCACCATTACTACTATCAATCACCTTTATTATTTAAGCGGTTACTCATATTGTACAACTATCACCAAATATTAGTTGAGATTAATCACACCTTACAATCTAATAATGTATGTGTGCATATAATACTAAAATTAATTTATTAAAAAAAATTATTTAGCAACTTTGGTAAAAATAATATTTTAATTGTTCACGAGGGTCAAATGATTTTAGAGCATGACAATATTTATAATATACAGAAACAAACAAACATTTTTTTGATATTTGCAGAGTTTCAATATACAGAAAGTTTAGGTTAATTAATTTAATTGATTTGCTTCTGCCCTCATTTTTTAATTTTTTTAAGTCAAATCAACTTTTAGAAAAGTTCAATTAATATTAAATAAATTAGGATTTTATAAAAGAGAAATAAAAAAAAGTACAAAATGTCAGTGAAGAGTCACGGAATTACATCAAAAGTCACTCTATAGGTTGTGCGATTAATATTTTATCGACTCAATTAAAACATGACATATTAAAAAATTAATTAATAAAATACAAAATTTGTTACATTAAAATTTGTGACATACTTTTTGTGATCAACTTATCTATAGGCATTCGATAGCACATGCATAGAGAATCTGTTTCAGAATTTAAATAAAAAAAAATTGTGATGATTATTTTATTATTTGTTTAAATGTTTAATTAAAATTAACCACGATTTAATTTGAATTAATAGAATTTACTAACAAATTTAAGAGAATGCAAATATATTCTGCCTAAAAATTCTATCGTATGCTTATATAAACTCAAAGGTAATTAACACAAATATTTTACCTTATTTGTAATAAATTGTATGGGGTTGGAGTAAATTTAACTTCTTGTGTTAATAAGCACAAATAATTTTAGTTTCTCAGTTATTCATAAATTATAATTTTGATTTTTTTGTATTTTACTAAAAATATTTAATATTTAATTAGTTATAATATATATACTATTTATTACTTATATGTTACGTTAAATTTGTTATGTTATATTTTATTAATAATTGAGGGATCAAAAATATTATCAACCCGATTATTTTCTTATTATATACACCGTGGTGCCACGAGAAGTTCTTTTACTATTTCAGCCCCCAAATCTTCAGGGGCCCGTCGGAATGGCCCCTATCTGAAACTTGAAGTGTCCAATTATGTCCTTTAACAGATAAAATTTCAGAAAATTAAATCTTTGGTTGTCCTGTTGCCACGTGTACACTCTTTTTATATTTCTCTAATTTTATTCTTTTTTCTCATTTCTATTTTCCCCTACATTTCATTTCGTTTCGGGAGTGCAAGTTTAGAAATGTAATACATAAGACAGATGTGGAGATGAAGATCGAGAACTTAGTCATATATATCTAAGAGAGGAACTTTAAATATCTCAAGTTCATAATTTAAAAAAATTGGAGGATCGATAATGATGTTAATTGTTACACATCATATCGTAGCAGAATTGATGAAACATATGCTCGTTTTCGGTGTGTTGCTTAGGCTCAAATGTAAGTTCTACAAAATAATGATCAAAACATTGTTGTATAGGACAGAGTATTGATCATTCAAATATAATTATATTTACAAGATGTAGATATCAAGAATAAAAATATGCATACATATTCTGATTGATATGATCAGAAAATAAGTTATTTATGCCAAAGGATAAGTGAATCAATAACGAATAAAATAAAGAAAGTAAATTAATTTGATATAATTCAGATATGTAAAGAAGAAACATAAGGATGCACCTCACTCTAAAATGTTTGGTGATAGCTAGTTAGAGTAGTGACTTTATTACAAGACTTTGACTATGTTGTAGCTCTTCAAGTTTTGACACTATTTTTTTTTATTAATACATACCACTTTATAAATAAACTAATTTTTTTTTTTAAAAAAAAGAAGCAAACAAAAGGGATATTCTTAATTATCTTTTCTTCTACTTTAGTTTCTGTGTGGTTAAAAGATAGGAATATAAATGATAAGATAAGAATGTTGAATCGTGATTTACATTTGACTCATTTGAGTTATTTTCCACTTGTTCAATATCACATATATAAGGAATTTGTGTTCTCTCCTTAGCCGATAAGGGGCACCAACATCCTTTCCTCTCATCACATTGAAAATTGGACATCTAAAGTACGAATAATATGAGACGAAGAAACTGCTAAATCTTATTTCAAGCAGCTTATACTAGTTGGCAAAAGCATTGAACTTTAAATATATAAAATTAATTTATTTATTTTTTAAAAAAAAATTGGTTTTGTCTGTCTAGTCCCTAACAAGTTATTTGGAGATAAACTAATGAATAGTGAAAATCTACAAGACAAACTTATTATTTTTCCACTTTAATTTTATGATTGATTGTACCTTTACTTTTTTTCAGAATACTAGTGAAATACTTTAATATTTTGTTGAATTAGTAAAACATAACTACAGTACATCTTTGTTCCCTTCCTTGAGATCATCAAATAGACATATTCTTTCATTGATTGGTGACTCCTTTTCCCCCAAACACTTCTTTTTAAATTTCCATAAAACTTATTAGTATAATATTGTGTTAGTTTTATATTACTTGATCCTATTGATTTATTATATTAAAATCTTAATTAGAGATATATTTACTAAGATATTATATAGGCCCACCCACCCCACTCCATCCCACCTTAGGAGAAACCCCAACTAAAAACATTACATATAATATGAGTCGGAGAGAGTACTTAAGGATCGTTAAGTAAAGAAACAAAACATTCATGTATTAGTTTTTATATAAGTTGTGTAATGTTTGATAGTTAGTTAAAAGATAAGTTAGTTACACATAAAATAAAATTAATATGATGATTGATTTGTTGTTTAGAAAATCGCTTAATTAATACATGTATAAATTATGAGGGAATTAGCGTATTATCTTAAGTAGGATAGAAGATAAATGAACAAATATGCACCCACACGATAAATACCATATAACTAATACTTACATTATTATAAATAATATATTTATATAATTCTAATTAGCTAAGGACCCTAACCAACATGAGTTGTAATGTTGTGGTGGGACTGCTCCACACTTAATTAGAGATTTCAGGTTCGAGCCCTGAGTATGTAGAGAATCCTATTGAAAGCGCCATCCCGAATGACCCTACAGTGCGCGATCCAAATTTAATCGAGACTCCAAGCACCAGGCGGAAAACCATAAAAATAAAAAATCATCTAAGGACCCTAAGTTAAAAAAGAGATAAGAATCAAATGCTTTTTAGCCTATCCCTATCTTTTCTTTATTAGAAGTTCTAGTATCTAAATTGGGTGGATTTGATACCTGAATTGTAAAAATACCAAAATTTATGGCCAAATTAAGGACTCTTTTTGCTGTCCCCAATTTTATTTTATTTTTTCTTATTCCAATTTCTTTTCTCTTTACCTATAGGATTTTTATTCTTTTTATTTTGGCAAAAATATATCCAACTTTCTCAAAAGTTTTTTTCCTTTCTTTAAACCTTCTGTTTCTGGGATATAGCTATTTGTAATAGATAATCTATCTTAATAATAAAATTATTATTATTATTACTAAATAAACTCTTTTTTTTAATCAATAACTATCAATTATTACGCGTAAGTCGTAACTGTTTGTAAAAAAAGCGAAATTAGTACTTAATTGAATACGAAATTTAAGAAATAATGTAAAGTTTTTAAAATTTACTATTTAAAATAACTTTTAAATATGCATGTCATTGCAAATTATCTGATTGAAAATAAAATAAAAAATAATTAGATTATTTAAAATAATTAAAGTAGATTTCTTTATTAAAACAAACTAAAAACAAATCTTGAAACATAAATCGTGACAAAATAAACTTAAATCATTGGCTATAACACGTTAAAATGCACTAAATATATCCTAGTCTAGATGGATAATATTACTTTCTCCGTTCCATATTAGTTATCTATATTACTAAAAATAATTGTTCTAAATTATTTGTCAATGTACACAATCACAATAGAATTACTTATATTTCCCCCATTTCTTCATTACTATTAATTCTTTTCGAAAGTGTAAACAAGTCTGTAAAGTCTCAAAAAAATTCTTAAGATATTTATGATTTCTAACTAATGTGACATTTAAAAGAGAAAGTAGACAATTAATATGAGACAAACAAAATATCTTATACATTATAAAATTAATCAAGATATACATTTTTTTTCTTGCCTAATATATACACAATCTCTATAAGTAGAAACTTTTGCCTATCTACCCCCCCCCCCCCCCATCAAACAAACCCCAACCCCCTCTCTACAATTAGGTCATCACACACACACACATTTCTTTGTATTCTGGTTTATTCTTTGTTCCCTCTTTTATAAATTCCCTCTTCCTTCTTAACTCTCTTAGTTCTATTTTTGGAAAATTAAAAAGAGAAAAAAAAAACCCCTAATGGCTAGAGAAAAAATTCAGATCAAGAAAATAGATAACTCCACAGCAAGACAAGTTACATTTTCAAAGAGAAGAAGAGGTTTATTCAAGAAAGCTGAAGAACTTTCTGTTCTTTGTGATGCTGATGTTGCTCTCATCATTTTCTCTTCTACTGGCAAATTATTTGACTATTCTAACTCAAGGTATACTCATCATCATTTTCTTGATTACTTAATTATAAAAATAATAACATATTCAGTGAAATCTCGGGGTACGGAGAAGCTAGTATGTACTAGATCACCTAATTATCCCTATTCCTGTGTGTGAGGTAGAATAGTTGTTTCAGATAGACTCTCGACTTAAAAAATATTAAGTATAAAGGTAATGATTTTTGGTTAATTATAAAAATAATAACGTATTCAGTGAAATTTTAGAAGTGGAGTTTGAGTGGAGTTATGGCTATGTGTATTTTACCTTTATTTTTATAGGGTAGAGAGGCTCTTTCTAATAGATTGGTTTAAGAAGTGTGAATCAAAGTTATGATTTTTGTTAATTTTTATGAGTAATGGAGTATTTTTTAATTTTTGGGTATTTCTAAATGGGTGTCTTTGGTTGGTCATGATTGAGAAGAATATTTAAGATTATAATATTGAGTTTTGGATTTTTGTATAGTGTATTGAGTTTTTGATAAACTATTGATGATATTAAATGGATTTTTAGATATAAATTTAGGGTTTGATTTAAAGTTATTAAGTTTTGTTGAATTCGTAGGCAAAGTTATAGCTTCGCTCTTGTTTGCAAATGGGTGTCTTAAGTTAGTTATGATTGAGAAGAATTGTTCCGAGTTATATGAGTTATGAATTTTAGAAATTTAGTTTGATGGATTTTTGATAAATTATTTATATATGAAAAGTGGAATTTTATATTTTGGGGTTTGATCCAGAGCTATTAGATTCAATCGTACCCGCATACAAAGTTGTAGCTCCGCTCTAATTGTTTGCTAAGTTCTTCTATATATGATTTAATAATTATGTGCACTAATAATATTATCAATTCACTTTAATTTGTTATAATACCAGTTAAGTATATAGTTTAATTTGTATAGAAGTTAAGTTACTATTTTTGTCAATTTAATTTACTTATTAATTACTCCATGATTTTCACAATGATGGTCACATAACATAAACTCTTTCCATATTTAGCAACTATTGAGCAACCCACCTCAAGAAACTTTCTATTTTGTGTCATTTATTGACTCTTTTTTTGAGGTAATAATTAATGGAAAAATCTTGAATTTTGCAGAAAAAAACAACTCTAAAAACTATAAAAAAAAATTTGGAAAAGAAATCAGAAAAAAAAAAGAGAATAAACAAAAATACAAACACAAAGTGAGTGGTGTAGGAAGTAGTTATTAGTTAAAGGGTTATAAAAATTATGTCGTTCAGATTTTTTAAAAATATTGTTGCAGCATATCATATCTTTTCAAAACATATTATCTTTAAATGATCCGATGTGTTCATTGAAGATTCTACTTTCTTTGGATTGAAATATGTATTTTTGTACACAATTACATTATTGAAGGATCTACAGAATATATATATATAACAATTTTATTTGTGGAGTTCAAATTTTTATATACAATCTGAGTATAATGTTTTTTACATTGTTAAATTAAATTGATATAACAATAAAATCGATATAATTGTTATGGTAAGCTTGATATAACAATAAAAAAAAGAATATTAATTTATTATAATTAATTAATCTGAACTACTAGTACAAATATTTCTGATTAAATCCTTAATTTTTTATTATCTAAAAAGAGAATAAATTTAGCTGGATATTGTTATCGAAAGGACCACCATATCTTATCTGTTTCACATAAAGGCAATAATATCATATCTTATAATATAAAAATAAAAAATTATCATGGGAACTATATATTTATGGTGGATAGGACAAACTCCTTTCCATTGGGAAAAAAAGAGCATATTTTAGGAATTTTATGGTTTTTTGTATGGTATAGGTAAAAAGGAACAAATTTGATGAGCTATTTTTTTGAGGTTATTGTGTATGATATATAAAATAATTATGCTTTTCCCTCGATATTTGATATTTGAGAACGATTATTTATGAACTCTATTACTTTAAATTCGCAATAAAATATCCCACATAAAACACACTTTATTGTAGAGACTATATTTTCATACTCAGCCTGATAAGGAGGGAACAATAATAACTATCCCCACTATATTCATTGGAGGTATATATGTAAATGTTATAAGAAAGTTAGAATTCTAGCTACGGATTATGAGAATCCATAAGATTAGTGAAAACTTTGTATTCGTGCTAAAATGTTCACTAAATATATATAAATAGTCTATGATTCAGTAATTTGATTTTTTTGTAATTCACTTATTTATCATCCTTGATACTTAGTGTCTCATATATTAGCTAAGAGATGAAATGATCGTCTTTTTATAGTCTTGGATAATCTTATATCTCATAGGCTAATTACTTTTTAAGTTGAGTCAAGCTTGTCACTAGGTATTAGTATGTTGTTAAGTTGATAGGCCTGCTCGGGCGGGGGAAGAGGTGTTATCTATTCCACATTAGTTGAGGGATAAGTTGTTTGTGTCGGTGTTGAGCAATATTTTTTTCTTTTGAGATTAAGTTAGATCTGAAGTTAATTTTCTTCACAAAAAATTACAAATATGTCTTTTATTTTCTTAGATGTTATGCGCATGTGTCCCTAACATATTGGATACATGACCACATACATTCTTCGAGGATTTTAATATTTATGCATCGATATCATAATCAATCACATAAAAGATAACTATATATAATTGTACAGTTCAACGATTTACATAAGATCTTAAAATTTCTTTTTTTTCTCATAAAGCATGAAACAAATTCTTGAGAGGCGTGATTTGCATTCCAAAAATTTGGAAAAATTGGATCAACCATCACTTGAACTTCAGGTAATTAATTAGTTACTTAATTCATTTATTTAAACCTTAATTACATTTTTTTTTCTTTTTATAATTTTGGATTTTTTTCAACAAACATTTTGTTTATATTGTTTGCAGCTTGTAGAGAATAGCAATTACTCCAGATTAAGCAAGGAAATTTCCGAAAGAAGTCATCGATTAAGGTATATTCATAGTTACATATGAAATCGACTATATGAATTATCACTGTTCTTTTTAGTTCAATTCATAATATCATCTCATGCGTCAAATAAAAGTAAAAGAGAGACAGATTATATATATAAACAAATTACGATAATAATAATAATATTAGAAGTTCTCTAACAAGTAGCATCGGTTAACAGGCAAATGAGGGGAGAAGAACTTCAAGGACTAAATATTGAAGAGTTGCAACAATTGGAGAGATCTCTTGAAACTGGATTGAGCCGCGTCATAGAGAGAAAGGTTGAGATTTAACTTATATATATTGACATTATAAAATATATATTTTATGTTATTAGTATAATAATTTAATATGTTATAACAAGTTATGATCGATTGTTCTTTTTTTTATTGTTCTTACACAACTTGCTTTATCCATATATCAGGGTGATAAAATAATGAGAGAGATCAACCAACTCCAACAAAAGGTTAGGAATATTATCGTTTTAAGTGATTTGATTGTGTAAAAATTCTTGTATCGTAATTTTACTTGGATTTCGTCGAGGCTGATAATTAATATTGTGAAAAATCAACAGGGCATGCAACTAATGGAAGAAAACGAAAAATTAAGGCAACAGGTATGTAAAATTTTTCGTGAAAAATAGACGTGAGATAAAAATTGAATGTTTTACTATAATTTTGAATAGCGATCTTGAATTCTTTCATCAAAAGAGTCTTAACTTTTGTACAATAACTTGTATAAGTTAGATATGCCAATAAGGTGAAATTTCAGTTAGCCAAGTAACTTCTGAAATTCTCCAAGGTGTCTTGTTCAAATTTCAGTAAAAACTACAAATAATTAGATGATTTTTTCCTATTTGCCTAAATCTCCACAGACAAAATTATACTCAATAAAATGAGTCAAGTGCGATAAGCTGATCGAATTCTATCGTCTTTAAAAAATAAGAAGAAACATAGTAACTCCAAATTAAGACAAAGTAAAACAATTGGGATCATATATAGAGCTTGTTAATATTATTAGAAGTCTAGAATTCAAGCTTTTGAAATAAAAAAAGATCTTGATAATGAGCTTTTAGAATGATAAAAAAATATTAATAATGAGTGTTTCTTCCTTATGCCACAAGTATTCAAATTAATCTAGACTTCAATAATTATGTACTTAAATGTTGTTGCTGATTTATTTATTTTTAATTATTTTTTTTGTAGCTGATGGAGATATCTAATAATAATAATAATAATGGATACAAAGAGCCAGTAGTAGTAGCATTTGAATCAGAAAATGGATTTAATAGTAATAATGAAGAAGGCCAATCATCTGAATCAGTCACAAATCCATGTAACTCTACTGGCCCTCCTTCTCAAGATGATGATAGTTCTGATACTTCTCTCAAATTGGGGTTAGTACTTTAATTTTTCTAATTTTCTTCTCATTTGGTTCGAAGGATAAGGGATAACTAATCTCAAGTTTAATTTTATGATGAGTTTATACTATGTTTGATTGGTAAATCGTGAAATAATTTGTTTCAAATTGTTGTGTTATTTTTTTCAATATTGAGGGTGGGATAACAATCTTTGGAGAACTAATCCTAGAATTATTCTTGAGATAACTTATTCTCCGATCAAACGAGTTGTCTATCTAGTATCTACCTTTTGAAGGTATGGATAACGCTGCATACATATCACCCTTTTCAAACTTCACTTGCGGGATTACACTTATCAATATGTTGTTGTATATTATTGGTGTAATTTAACTGTTTAAAACATGTATATACGAGGTTGATTGACAACAAAAGTTAGGGGTGTAATCGAGTTTAGTAATTTTGACTCAAAACTTTATTTGCGTGTTAATTTTTTTTTATGATTATGTATTGTCGAAGCTGGAAGTCTTTATACGGATTTGACTGAACCAAATATCTTTAGTTCATATCTTGTATTGTATTTAGAAACTCATAAATATGTAAAAAAAAAAAAAATTATATCCAAAACCTAGCTACTAACACCTGATGTAGTTATCCTAAAATTTAGAACATATTCATAAAATTTAAATCTTAACTTTGTCTCTATATGTTCACCTTCATGCCCTAGATCTATAATACATAAACTTAAAATTCTGAATCCGTTTTTGATATTATATGTATATTCATCTTTTTTTATTTATTTATTTCAGGCTACCTTACTCAGGCTGAAAGGAATCAAAAGCAAGGTGTGACTATTTTTGTATGTTATCGGATGGAGGGAAAAAAATAGTAACTACTAATTATTATAATTAATTAATGTAAGATTAATGTAAAAGCTAACCCCAAAAAATTTCATATTATGTATGTAATTGGTGTATTAATCCCATGTATTTGTCTCCCATATTTTATATAAATATCATCGTAAGTATCTAGTAGCTTAACTAATTAGCACTATTAATCTTTTGATTGAACTTGTCAACTTGTAACTATAAGGGTTAACTATTTACCTTTCTTTTTTGTTGTAAAATTAAATGTTTACTTGATGACCGTAAACTATAATTTTATTTATATTCAGATTTAAACATAGGTTATTTTGAAATTTTCAGTAGATGATTTGTAGTAATATATTATTGTCTGAATAATTTAAATTAATTTTTAATTTTGGAAAGTCTATTTACTTTCGTCTTATGCCATTAAATTGTTAGTTAGAATCATTTTTTCTTTCGTTCCTAGTTGGTGTTTGATGTTAGCATTGAAGTCTGACTAGTTTAGTCTATTTACTTTCATCTTATGCCATGAAATCGTCGACCTTAGTTTTTGATTTGTTGAAGTGCTTTTGTGTCAAAAGCTTCAATTTTTTAGTTTTTTTTCCAGTTTGATTATTGATTGTTCTTGAAATTTTGGGTTTTCTCTGCTTTTCTGTTCATGTTTTGTGTTAATTTTTTGTTTTTTTTAGTTTATTTATATGTTGGTTTTGGGCTATTTTATCTTGAGCAGGTTTTTTTATTTTTGGCTTACGATTTACTGAGTGCCTTTTGATTTATATGTCAATCATTATTTTCAAAGAGGCGTACAAAGTCTAAATTAGACAAGTAAAAATGAACATAGAGAGTATTACTATGTTCACTTTGTCCACCATACTAACAATAGATGTCCTTTTTACTTGTTCGATTTAGAATATCAAGAAAGTTTGGTAATTCTTGACAAAGGCGACCCCATATCTAGGAAAATTCAAACTCGAGACTTTATTATTAATGGTTTAATAGTTCAAAACATGTGTAAAACCGTCCGATTTTTTGAGTTTCATATCCGAACCATTGGGTGTGTATGTGTTTCTTATAATAAACTATTTATTAGAACTTAACTCGACTATCATGTTGTGAATTTTCAAAACTATTTATCAAAATACATCTTAACTATAAAGGGTGTGAACTTTCTAAACTATTTATCAAAACGCATTTCAACTATCAAGTGTGCGAGTTTTTTACCTAAAATATCACCATCGTTCAAGTAAAAAAAATAAATTGATACTTGAAATACATTTTAATCAATATATAATGATAATTCAGATAAAAAAATTCACACATATATTAGTTCAAATATGAAATCTAAAGAAATCGAAACAATTATCATTCTATTTATTGTTTCTTACCCGTATTCATCACACAAGTCAATACTGAACTGTGAGACTATTGGTTGTTAACAAACTCCAAACAACCGACAAAGCATAGATCACCATATTCACTTTCCTAATATAATTTTTTTTATCCCAAATCTACCTCTTCTTTCCCATCTTGCTTATTTTCACTGATTTAGTGGCTAACTCCTACTACAATCATAGAAGTAAAGCATTAGCACCAAGCTGCTGTTTGTTTGGAGCAAAAATGGGATCTGTTTCTTTGAAAATAGGTGATGGAACTGCTAGATTCAATAAAGCTACTTATTGTTCTTCAGCTCTAAATCTACTTATGCTTTTCTCTGTTGTTACAACTAATCTTTTTGCTTTATATGCTTTTACATCCTCACCCAAAAACCTCCATCATCATCTACTACTCCCACATACACACAAGAACATATCTTTAATCTCAGAACAAGTTTCTTTAATTCTAAGAGAAATTGATTCTTCCCAAAAGAAACTTGCCCAAATGGAAAAAGAGCTTTTAGGGTATGAAAGTTTTGATCTTTCTAGTCCCAAAGTTCCAAATGAAGTGAGAAATTTCTTGCAACCCCATTTGCTCCCTTTGGGTAAAGATTCAAGAACTGGGATTACTGAAATGGTTGCTTCTATTGGACATTCTTGTGTGAAATCTTTAGATTTGCTTTCTCAGTTTATGAATTATAAGGTAAATGGTCTTTGTCCTGATGATTGGAGTCTTGGGCAGAAGCTGATTCTTAGTGGCTGTGAGCCTTTGCCAAGAAGAAGATGTTTTGCTAAGACAATACCTAAGGTTGGTTTACTTAAATTACCTGATTCACTTTGGGGAAATTATAGTGAAAAGATTTATAGTTGGAGTGGTCTTGGTTGTAAGAATGTTGCTTGTTTAAATGTTAAGAAATTGAATAGAGATTGTGCTGGTTGTTTTGATGTTGTAAGTAGTGGGGGGTATGAGAGGCAAAGATATGTTAAGGGTAGAGGGAAAAATGATTTCTTGATTGATGATGTATTGGGAATGTTGGGAAATGGTGGTGGAATTAGAATTGGATTTGATATTGGTGGTGGATCTGGTACATTTGCTGCTAGAATGGCTGAAAGGAATGTGACTATAGTTACTTCTACGTTGAATGTCGATGCACCATTTAATGAGTTCATTGCTGCACGGGGTGTATTCCCGTTGTATTTGAGTTTAGATCATCGGTTTCCCTTTCATGATAACGTGTTTGATTTGGTACATGTGGGAAATGTATTGGATGTGAGCGGACGTCCTGAGAAATTAGAGTTTTTAGTGTTTGATATTGATAGAGTTTTGAGGGCTGGAGGGTTGTTTTGGTTGGATAACTTTCTTTGTTCAAATGAAGACAAGAAAACTGCATTAACGAGGCTGATCGAACGTTTTGGGTACAAAAAGCTTAAATGGATTGTTGGTGAGAAGATCAATGGTTCGGGAAAATCTGAGGTTTATTTGTCTGCTGTTCTACAGAAACCAGTAAGAGTTTGATGGTATCGCGGGTTTCTCATAGAAAAGCTGTGCAAGTTCATTATTGACATAGAATAAGTGAACGTATTCGTCTTCTTTACACAACTGCTAACCAGCATCATAGGAGGTGGGTTCGGCTTTGTGGCAGGTATTATATGTCTATGATCTGTAAGATTATTCACTTATCTTTGCATTGAACTAGATATTGCTGGCATTGGCATGAGCCTTTTGTCTGTGTCAATTGTTGATTTGAGTTTAGGAAGAAAAGAAAACGAAGCTTTTTTTCAAATTTCATTGTATTGTTGGGATATAAGTTACATCATCTGATATTGTCCCCTTGATTAAAGCATTTGGTTGATGCCTTTTCGACATATCGTTATGTTCTTGATAATCTTGTGGTATACTGTGTGCAACTTAAAACATGTGTAGTGTCTGAGATACAATAACTAAATGACTAGCAATGCTACACTCAAAAATAGTCGACTATTCGAATTTGGTAGTACTTTTTTCCCTAGAAAAGAAACATATGATCGAGAGGACTCTCTCGTTCTTCAAGTATGTCATTTGAGCCACAATGCTAGTCCGCCTATAAACCGTGTCCTCAGGGATGGAGTCACAATGCTAGTCCGCCTGTGTCCTATGCTTTTTTGGTTCAGAGAGTGCTTTCTTTCTCTGCCCAAGCATGTAACTATACAGGTGAGAAAAGCCTGCATTTTCACAAACATCGTCTTCATCAATCATTGCTCCGGCTATCCTAATAATAATCTAAAAAGGAACTGTAATAAACTCGATGTTTTGTCACCGAGTTCCCTCACCAAGAAACCGAGTAAATAAACAGAATTGACATATTTGAGCTGAACGTGAAGATACTTTTAGTAAGAGAATGATGTTATGGTTCTTGCCTGGTAAATAGATGGCAAGGCAAACAAATGCTGCATAGTAGTAATCAAAAGAGAAATTCCATTTGTTTGGCATCCTAATAGAATACTTTCCATATTCCTACGAAAAAACAAGTCGATAACAAGACATAATCAGCTATCCTTAAAGTACGCACAGGGTAAACCTTGCTTCAGCGTAATAGCCACATAGGAGAGGTAAACTACACTAGGCAAGCTCCGTGTGACGACCTCGACTGAGAAAGCATGCAGGGGGTTTCGAACCTCCCATGCTCAACCAACTCGGTCACCCTTGCGGGTTAGCTCTTTGCTACCTCTTCAATGGATAGAAAGATGAGTTTATTGCCATTTCTAAGTGAGAAAGAAACAAACAAAAAAGAGGATCTTGGTACCTTCATGTAAGGCAGGGCATTATATATTAGACCTACTTCACTTGTGATGCCAATAGGATACAACAATAAGAAAGTACTATACCTGCAGTAAGGAAATCAGCTTAATAAGAACATCCTAGAAACTAAATCCATCATCAGAGGCGCAGTTAGGATTTCAACTTTATGGATTCCGACTTATAGAATGATGACTTCAAGTTATATGGTAATACCTTAACCACAAGAGCCAAGAAGGTGCAGAACCAAATGCCTCCCTTGTGCCAAAAAATGAATATCTAATAATCTGAAGTTGAACATAACGATAATACCAATGTTAATAATCTGAGTTTATGTGCTGATGGTTTTTATGAATAAGCAAGGCTCACCTCTGTAATAGACCAACTAATCACTAGAGAACTAACAAGTATGACTCCGGACCTGTAATCAACAAGTCAAGTCAATAGTAAAGAAGCTTCGGAATGCTTTACTGTGATCTGCAAGGAAAATACTAACCTCGGGAAAACTCCATAGAATTCCCCAGGTTACGTATAATCTTGAACTTATCTGTGGAAGAGTTGATGATATCGGAGACCTTACCAAACCTTATTTGAGGTTGAAGAGAAAGATAAACAAGTTATTGTTATATAAAACGTTCTACCTAAAACAAAGAACATAGAAATGCTTCAGATCAAATGAATGTATACCTGCTAGACTATGAAGTATCTGTTCAGCAAGATTTATGGACAAGAAATCAACTGTTAGACTTCATTCAGCATTTGCATTTCACTTGAAACAATACAATATGATACAACACAATACATTATGAAACATCACATAACAACCAGTGTAAGTGCTAATGTGCTACACACAGAAACACAATAGAAACATGGCTTGAGATATTACCTCAAAAAAAGCAGCAGTTTGAGCAAAAAGCAGAGGCTTTTCCACAGCATCATAGACATATTCATACCCAGATTCTTTCAAAGTTTTCACACCAAAATAAAACACTTGAAACCTAAACACCAAAAACCCAAAATCCATCACACACTAACAACAACAACAAAAAAAAAAACCAAAAATTGTGCAAAACAAACAAGAAATCCAAAAGGGTATTCTACTTACCATCCAAAAAACACAATCCAATTGTAAAAAATGAGATACAAATGCCTTAAACCTGATAAAAATACTGCCATTGAAGAACAAAAAAAAAACATAAAATTGTAATGTTAAAATCCAAGAAATTGAAATGGGTACTTAAAGAAACAATCTTTATGCATAATTAAGCTTAGTATTAGTAGATTAACCCACCTATAAATTATAATTCGGTTTTGGCTGCCTCTATTAAGTGTAGCTCTAGGAGGCTACAAGTATTTAATTTTTCTCCTTTTTTTTTTTTAGATTTGAGCTATTTTGAGTGAAAAATAAAAAGTATTTTGAGTTACAAGTGATTTTTGTTTTTTTATTTGTTGAGGAGAAGCTATAGATTTCTACTTCTTTCGAGAAGCATAGGCAGAAAATTAGTTATTTCAAACAGATAAAAATATTCTTGTTGAAAGATTATATTATCATATTATCTCTTGGTCAAACATAATATGTTAAGAAGCACTTATTAAAGGAATTAGCCAAAGTATTAAATATTCAAGGGAAAAATGACAAATATACCCTCAAACTATCGTAAATGGTATGCAGATACCATTCGTCATACTTTTGGGACATTTGTGTTCCTGCCGTCCAAAAACTAGAACATATATGCCTTAACTCTAACAGAAGACTAAATAGGGACACGTGGTACAATTTTATCCGTCGATTTGATATTTAATAAATGTTGGGTCAGTGGATAAGATTGTGACACATGTATATCTGTTAGTATAAAGGATATATATGCTCTAGCTTTTGGACGACGGGGGCACCAATGTGCCAAAAATATGACGAAGGATATCTGCATACCATATACGATAGTCCAGGATAGATTTGTCCTTTTTCCCAATATTCAAATATCCAAACTTAGGTTAGTGTAATGCTCTAATCTCATAAGCACGTTATTTGTTCTCGTACTATTTCATCAAACCATAAAATCAATTGATTATGAAATGAAATTATATATAGCATGATCACTAGTTCTCTACTAATTACATAAATATTATTATCAATTCTTAATAAATATTTTATTTTGAAATAAATTGTTTTTTATTTAATCTCTAGACATTTTAGTGGTTGGCTGAATTACTGACAGTATAAGAAGCTGCCACGTGGTATACAACTATTTAAATAATCTTCTTTGTCTAATTCCTATTGGTTTCTCCTTTTGTTTTCACTTCATCAAAATGGCAAAATACAGTCCATTAAAAAATTAGCAAAAAGTTAACATGCTGTACAAAAGAGAATTTAAAAAATATATGTAGATGATTAGGTGAACATATATTAACAAATTGCTAAGTATTCTTTAATCTTTTTCATTTATTCAATAGTATAATTATCCTTTTAATTATTTAATTAATGATATGATCCTTAAACAAAAGAGTAAAACAAATTAACTACTCGATGAAAGAAGAATCAAAATGTCAGGTAAATGTGAGGCTTGTCTTATTTTCCGCATGCATTGGGCAGTCCTTAATTCATTTGGCTCAATAGAACTCGATAATTTTAGCGCAAATATTTCGTAATTTTAGTATTGTACTTCAATATTATGTATGGGAATATAAAAAGTAAAGAGAAAATAGCATGATTAGAAAAACGGTGTGAAATAAGTAATTCATCACTAGGTTGATAAATTCAATTATTTTTTATTAAATAAAGTTATCAAATCAACAAATATCGTTTCGATAATGCTTATTTGTGCTAAAAGAAATCATTAACATATTCAAAATTCAGTAAGCAAAAAATAATTATATTCCAAAATTTTATAAACTAAAAAATCTCGACTCCGTCTATAATATTATTATCTTTTGATATATAGATGATTTATACATATGGTACATTGGATTAGTATAGAATCTCCTCTCCTTTTGTTGAAAGCAAAGCATCACAATTCACACGTCTTCTCATAATTATTACCAAAAGATTCTAGATATATATAATAATAATTGGAAAAAAAAAAAATCTTTTACCAAAAAAAAATGTTTAGTTGGAAAAGGAAAATTACATATAATTGAGATTACATAGAAAAATTATGTGTAATTGGGATAAAGAAATAACAAAAATAGAACTATTTTAAAGAATGTTATTACTAGATAAGGGTCTTCCCCTTTTCCAAAGATCACACCAAGAATTTTAGAAACCTCATCGATAAATCTTTGGGGATCCTCTTCCACTTTAGAGCCATGAAATTCAGGAGGGTTCATTCTAGCAAAATCCTTAACCCTTGAAGCAGCCGAATTCACATTAGGATTGACTGGAGCTATCACTTCTCTATTGGCTTGAGCCGTCACGACTTGAGCCAACATTTGGATAGTAGACCTAAACTCCGCATGGGTCACATTCTCAACCACGGGATCAACCGGAGCATGGTTAACTTGAGGAGCTTGATTACCTTGAAGAGCTTCCTCATTCACATTGCCACCTTCCATTCTTCTAGCGTTAGCCCTTCGTGTATTCATATCCTGAAGACACAAGAGAAGGATTAGGAGAGGGACTTTTATAGAGTTAAATTCTAAGGCACGACTTAAGAGTAATGAAAGAAGTGAAACTTCCTAAACATCTTATAGCCTCTCATTCATAAGTGTGACATGCTTCACACTCATGAACAAGACTCTACTAGATGTGGCTTATGAGACATCATCCTAGAATCATTCTAAACCTTGTGCTCTGATTACCAAGTTTGTCACGACCCAAGGGTACCCCCTAGATGTAAGGAAGGATTGAGTTTTATTTCATGTTTTGCTACTTGACAATTAAATTTAAAGGTCATTGGGTCGTCTACTCGTCTTTACTTCACTTTCTTTATATCTTGAACTTGAATAGTTATACTTCCTTCACGTTTCAAATGAAATATAAGATGACAAATCTTAATAGTTCAATTGATCATTGTCTAAACTTTTTTAATCCTAATTACCTTTTTTTTTAATTAAAAGAAGAAGAATGAGGTAGAAAATTCCTTTATAACCGCAAAAATGCAAAATAAAATAAAATAAAATTACAACCATAACGCACAAAGTGTGTATTTGTAATTAATTAATCATATTTAAGTAAAAAAGAATTATACCTATCACACGTTATAGAGAAGTCAAATACACATCGATCGAGGCAGTAACATTGCGTGCATATCAAGACTATATTTTATACACTAACAAGTAAAAATATGTAAAATGCTATGCTTAATAAAGAAAAAAAAAAAATTTCCTTTCCATAAATAATGTACTCCTCTTAAAATATCAAATTGTTTTGAGAATTGTTAAAATTCGTAATGAAAATTAAATTTTATTTCATGTCTCGCAACTTGTTAATTAAATTAAAAAGTCACAAATTCATTAATTTAACCTCAAAACCAATGAAAAATTTACTACTAAAAAAGAAGCATCATTAACAAATTGATGTATTAATCATTAAAGAATTTATAATCACACGTTAAAGAAAGTCAAATACACATCGAGGCATTTTGGCGTAGCAATCGAGATTTTATATATATATATATTTGTAAAGTATAATTTACATTAATTATTTTACGTCAAATAAATTAAACTTATCATAGTTAAGCGATTTGACGAAGAATATATATATTCTTTGTCAAATGTATATATCTTCTTTTGAATCAATTCCTACAGCTAAGCTGCATTAAGTTGTATTATTGGAAAGCAATTTGTAGGGATGTACCTAATGCCATTAATTCAGTAATCATATTAATTGTGTGGGGAATTATTTTATTAAAACCAATAATTCTATGATTTGGACTATTGAAAAAGACTTTATTCCATAATGTGAATGAATCATCATAAGATCAAGAAAATTACTACTATTATTTTTATCCAACAAGTGAAGTGAATAATATTTTATTTCATAATTAGAGATTTCGAGTTTAAATTCTGCATAATACGGAGACACTTTTATAAGGATGTGAGATTTATTAACGCGAATTCAAATCTAGTTCGACACAAGTGAGAAATAAAAATAATTGCTTATTTAATTGCATTTTTCACCATATATTAAAGTTAAATTCGATTTTTTTTTTAGTTTCAAACATGTTATATGGTCCATTTTAAACAATTATTTATTTATTTTTACTCATTTTATGGCCTTGTTTATTCGAAGAGCAAACAATTAGAGTCTATTTAAGGTGGAAAATGGCACCAAAAAATAGCAACAAAAACAGTCAAAGAAAAAAGGGCTCAAAAAGCTTTTCTTCATCCTATTCCCTCAATACCAAATCACTCAAAAACAAAAGGGAAATTATAGTGGGACAGTATTTTTTTTTAAAAATTTAATCAAAAAATTTGAGATTGAGTTTGATAAATAAAGTCATTTAAAATATTTTTTTGGTTAAAATTTGGAATAATTATAGACTATAGTTAAAATAATTGCGATTCAGGTTCCTTATTAGTATACGGAAAACTATCTCTCGAGCATATGACTAAATGAAGCTCCGATTGATTTGTAATATCTCTTTTTAGGTTATTATTTAGATTTTATCCCATTTATAAAAAATATATAAACATAATTCTTGAAAAATTATTCTTCCAGACAACATTTGAATATTGATTGGTCTTATTTGATAGGATTTACGCGTTATCAATTTCTGAAAATGTATCTCCATTAATTAAATTATTTCTGACCCTATCTTTGGATTTTTATATTATTGGTACACAATCTATGAAGGTCTTCCCTACATATATTACAACGTTCCACCCTTTAATAAATAAATTTTAATGGTCGAAATGAAACTAGGGACTCTTTTTTTCCACCCGGCTTCCGGAGTCCACATTGGAGCTCCGACTAAATCCGAATCGCGCACTGCAAGGTCCATTCGGAGGTGGCGCTGCCAACAAGATTTTCTCCATACTCGGGACTCGAACCTGAAACCTCTAGTTAAGGGTGAATCACTACCACCAGTGCACCACAATCCATGTTGGTGAAACTAGGGACTTGACTCCACCGTTTCCTTATATATTGTTAATACTACAAATCAAATAATGTACATACATCTAATATTTTTTATAATAACTTACCAAATTTTAAATTACCAATCAATATTTCCCCATAAATTATTTAGT